GTTTACACCATCAGGGTGGTCAGGCCCATTTTTAAAAATATTTTTCTTACTTTAGGGAGATATATCATTCTTCAAAATGTCATGTCTGGTCATCTATATAGAAAGTCTCTCAAAAAATTTTATCGTGAGTAAAAAAATTCCCACCAAGGATTCTTAAATTTCAACTAATGAGGAAGAGAGGCTGTTGATTTCATTTAAGCCCAGGAGAGAGATTTCAGCTAGTTAACAGTAATTGTTCTAGAATGTAGTGACTCCAAGGTAATAAGTATTTAGGCAGAGTATGAGATTGTGGTGCCTCAAACTACTTTTTGGCGGGCATGGAGAAGAGCATCAGTAGGATTGGCGTTAGATATCTAAAAAGATCCTGGGTTTAAGGAGGCGGTGCTAGCACAGGTCAGCGTGGAGAATAAGTGAAACCAATCCGCATTTTCAAATCTATCTCAGTTAGGAAGCATTTTAAGTGTCACGGGTTTGGATATAGTGAATCAGATATACACAACTAGAAGAATGATCTCTTTCACTGATTAGAGAGCAGTGGTTGAAATAAATGGTGATCTGGAAGACGATGAAGACTTCAGAGACGATTCTCTACTCCCAACTAATAAGGAAGAGTGACCATCAATTCTAAGTGAACCCAAGAGAGAGATTCCAACTAGTTAACAATTGATGTTTTAGAAGGTGGTGACTCCAAGGTAACGAGCGTTCAAGCAGTATGAGATTGTGGTGCCTCGAACTGTCTTTTGGGAAGCATTGAGAAGAGTGTTAGTAGACTGACATTAGATGTCCAAATGAGTCATGAGTTTGAGGAGTCGATACTAGACGCAAGGCAACCTCAGATAAGAAGATTTCAAAATTTGCAAATACATAGCATATGTCCTGAGTTGCCCCTACTGAGAGAAGTCCACCAGGTCAAAGATGAGGTTTTTTGTGTCACTTATAAAAGATGATATGATGTTAGTTGGGTGTTAAAATCTATTCAACAGCGTACCACTGACAGATGATCAGATAGGAGGGATGAACTAAAAATTTGAAAATTGTCTTTAGAGCATGATGAAGAAAATTCTAAAATGGGATTTAGGTCCTATATGGGGAGATCTCTCCTGAATGGTTGCTAGTGAGAGTTGCTCAACTTGTCGTATATTTCATCTCAGAGTTGATTCCTTTTTTTACTTATTTGATTATCAGATACATTATTACATATCTAATGACTTGAGAGTTATTTTATGAAAGTTTGCGTCAATATGCAGCTCCAACTCAAGTTGTGTCAAAAGAAGAATACTTGGTCTATCAAGATGTATTTTGGAATGACAACGTCTACTTGATTTACTGAGAGATTACATTTCTGTCACCTTCAACGCGCCCTACCTGAAACCATATTGTGACGTGATAGAAGCTTCGACAGATAACTTAGAAAGTTTCTCCAACCTCAAGAGACTAACATAGGCGTCCCTCCCAAATCGATGCGGGATTTCCAAAGCAGAGGCATGATTGCATCTCTCCTGCGATACTCTTGGACCCGGACACAGGAGATGGGTCGCCCGAGCAGCCCCAAATTTAATCGAGCAGATCCCCTTCTGATTTCTATCCAATTTCCAGCATGTTTCTCGTAATACTCTATTCTTTTCTAGTCATTTCCTATATATGTGATGTATTAGGGTTTTGAAGGGAGATTTTTCGTGTTTTGGTCCAGAGCAGTTGTTGGCATTCTAGTTATTTCCTTCATTTTTCGTGTTTTGGTCCAGAGCAGTTGTTGGCATCCTAGTTAGTTCCTTCTACAATTGTATCCAATGGTGAGTGGTGTTCTCGTTGTATCTTATTCCAAAGTAGTGATTCTCCTCCAAGGGTTGAGTGGTGCTCTAGTTGTATCTCGCCCTCGATGTGGTATTTATCCTCTTCTAAACTTCGTTGCGCCTTCCAACATTGCTTCCCATTCATCTAGTTCATTGTCTCCTTGCAGTCGTCCCCAGAAAACAGTGCAGCCATTGTTTTTATCGCTGTCTTGTGCCATCTAGCTCCGGTCTAGCCATCCTCTCCTACCTGTTGTACATTGTTATTCCAGCCACCTGAACTGCATTCTTACAACCGAACTACTGTTTTGACATTTCCTCTGTGCTGTCATGATTGTTCCTGCCGCCCAGAATCACCATTAGCTGTTGCTCCATTGTTGTCCAGTCCGCCTATCCTCATAAACTCTTGCTTATCACAATCACCACCCCCCTAAAATCCACCGTACTTTGAGTGTTTGTGTCTTTCTGTTGTTATTTCAGATTTTTTGGTGTTATGTTGCATTTTTTCTTTTAAGTGTATTGGTTATGTGTTAGCTTTCAATTATAATATTTGTTTTACTTACTGTTGTTTGGGTTAATTCTGGTATTATTCGGCTTAGATCAAACAGTACTGTCAGGGTAAGTATTGTGCCCTCTTGCAGGAACGCGCTTCTGCATCACCTTTGATGCCCTACATCAGTCTCCGGGATTGGTTGAGGGTGACGGAGTTGTTGTAGCCTCCCAATTGAAACTGCGTCGATATGTGCTCTCGAATCTCACTTCCGGTTTAGGGTCTTCAAGCCTAGCTTTTCTTCAGCATAGAACAATGGGGTACTTCTCGTCCTTTGGGGCTGCAACCAACGTCCTCCTAGTAACCCCCACCCCCTCTTCCAGGCTGGCTAGAAGCTTTAACTTTGATGGCGCTCTTCTTGCTAATGGTCAAGCATGGATGGGAATTGTCTTACGGGATGAGATTGGCAAGGTTATAGTTGTGGTCGGTTGTACGTTGATACACTGGGATAGCTCGCATGTGGAGTATGAAGCGGTTTTGTTCCTCTGTTCTCTTTTGAAGATTTGTATGTATGAAATCAAGGGTATTATCATTGAAGGGGATAACGTGGCGGTCATCGCTCTTTCCAAGCAACATGAAGACTAAGAGTTGACAATCTCAGTCTAGGATTTGATTTGACCTGGGATTTCTCACTTGACTCTAGGAAAGCACTTTTCTTTTTTTGTTTACAGAGAATGAAACAAAGCAGTCCATTTTTGTTCACAGCTTGCTTTGCATATATCTTTTGTTTGGGATGCTCACACTTGTGACACCGATTTTTTAAGTGTGACCGACTGAGGCCCCCCACACTACTTCCTTTGTGTAACTTCTATAGCTTTCTCTTGTCCCCTTTGTTTTTATTAATGTAAATGCACGTCCTTCACGGATCCCACTATTGGTTGCACTGTCCCCAAAGCCACGAGCCAATTTCGAGCCACACTAAATCTATTTGAGCCAATTTCGAGCTGGCCCCAGCTCGGCTCGAAATCAGATCGTTAATAGCCCTATCCATCATTGCTTTAAGATCAGGAATTGCATGTTCTATATGTTCCTTAATTATGATGCATCTTTTCTCAAATTAATGATCATTTTTTAGTAACAATGCCCTGCTTTATATTATAAGAATAATATTCATGACCATTGGCGAAATTAAAATTTTAAGTGAGAGGGGGTGAAAGTGTTTCGTAACGAAGCAAGCTCCTAAGTTTAATTTAATTCTAGGCGTATCTGGAAACACCATGATTAAGAAATTTCCCATGTGATCATATGCATATGTTTTCATGAGTAGGGATATAGAGGTGTCTTCCATATATGAAGAAGCATAATAAGTTTTGGACATATAAGAATAAGACTAGTCAATGAGACATCCAAAGTTAGGGAATAGGCAACCTTAATACCAAAAGGTCATATTAGCTTAACGGGAATTTAAGGCTTAGGGTTTTTCAGGGCAAGCTTCTTTTAAATGAGATAGAAGATGGAGCATTTTTTGTTGAAGTGTGATGTGGTTGTCAAAGAGGTGATATGACAAGTTAAATGGTGATGTGCTGGTCAACAATTATAGTGATGGCCAATGAGTGATCAAAAGGGGTCAAATTAGTTCACTAGCCAGGCTCAGGGATATAGAGGTATCTTCCATATATGAAGAAGCATAATAAGTTTTGGACATATATAGAATAAGACTAGTCAATGAGACATCCAAAGTTAGGGAATAGGCAACCTTAATACCAAAAGGTCATATTAGCTTAACGGGAATTTAAGGCTTAGGGATTTTCAGGGCAAGCTTCTTTTAAATGAGATAGAAGGTGGAGCATTTTTTGTTGAAGTGTGATGTGGTTGTCAAAGAGGTGATATGACAAGTTAAATGGTGATGTGCTGGTCAACAATTATAGTGATGGCCAATGAGTGATCAAAAGGGGTCAAATTAGTTCACTAGCTAGGCTCAGGGAAATGGATTGGTTAGCCCAATGCTCATATCCATACAACATACACATGACAATAAACACAAGCCCCAAAGTGCAGAAGGATTCTGAAGACTTGAGTGCATGAAGTTCCATCAAATTGAAATTACGAAAGAAAAATCATGTCTCGGGTATATGAGATATAAATTATGAAATATTAAACTAAATCTAATGTGCATTCTGCATCACCCAAATTAAACTAAAATGTTTTCAAAATGGGTGCAAAACTAATAACACAAGAAGAAGTGCTTGAATGAAATTTGAATGTGATGGGAAAGCAAAAAAATCGGGATTATTAGGTAGAAGTACTCGGCCTACATAACTTGGAAGTGCTCGCTATAATCTAGCTAGAAGAAACTAAAGATATTTACAAATGATGTCTTTAAATACCTGATGCTTCTTATTTTCATTTATTTGTTATATTTGTATTTATTTAGTAATAATTATTGTATCTGGCTGAAATCAAGCCTATTGTGGTCAATTTTTTGAAACAATCAAATCTGCCTTTATTTTTGAACTTTTGCTGGAATTTGTTCAATATTTTTAATCTCACATTTTCGCCTGTATTGATCTTAACGCTGTGATGGTAACTTTTTAACGTATGAGTTTTAGCCCTTTGGTAGTCAAATCAATTAGTTAATTGAAAGAGAAATTTTTGCAAAAGTCTCCTGTTTTCTGCTTGGCTTGATACTAGAAATGTTTTTCTTTGTGGAACCATGAAATCAGTTCACATTGGAGCTTGGTGATCATCTCTAACCCAGGAAAGGAAGACGACTCGGGTCTTCTTATACTTCATTTGGATTCGTTGGGGCTTCACTCTAGCCAAGAAATTTTCCGTATTGTTTCTGAGTAAGTTTTGTTACACTATTATGCATTATTGTGCTTTTGGGGGGACTCATTTGAAATATACTTCTAGCTGGGCCTGTCTGAGTTTAACTGGAAAAGAATGGATTTCCAGGATCCTTTAGCCTGGTAACAGTTTTGGGTGTTATTTTTCCATCCTATCTTTTACCTAACAAAAGCTGTAAAGTGTGCTCTCACTTTTTAGAAATCCTGCCAGAGTTTTAACAAATCTGATAACAAATGATGAGATTGCTAGTTCTGCTAACATTCATAGAACTTTAAAAAGTGCGTGCAATTAAATCGCTTGTCCTATCAATTGTTTCAAATGATGTTTCAGCTTCTGTATATAACCAATATGGTTTATTTGATTTATGATGAATTTATCAAGTCACCGACCACATTTTGTTTTTTGATTTCAACATCATTAAGTGTTTTAATATAGCCTTGTAGATTTTTTTGCCAATCCATTAATGATTTTCATACTTGACATGCTAATAAATATGCATCGTGCACGCTGGATGTGAATTACAATTTATTTTCATATTAAATTTCATCATCGCTGTTGATCCAAACTCTGATCTATGTTTGAAATTTTTTGGTAAATTCTGCATCTTTTGTTATTTCCCTGTAAACTCTGCATCTTTTATTATTTTCTAGATTTGAAGTTCTTTTTAAACTGAAACATTTCTGAATTTTAGCTTTCTCGAAGAGGAGTGGAACTATGTGAACCAAAATCCTATTGCAGATCTTCCTTTCCGAGGAGATATTTGGCAGCATCTTCCACTCAGGATTGAGAAGAAGAAAGTTATGGTACAGTATGGCATATATTGGCATATTGGCATTATCCATTTCTGATTTTTTTCATTGTTTAGGGTTGCCATATTTCAAGTTTGATGTCTGGGTATCTTTTAATTTTTTATTTGCTTGGGGTAGGAAGTGATCAGAGCTCTTCAAAATCCTATTTCATTTGGATGCATGTGATTTTGAAGGTGCAACACATTTAGATCAGCTACAGTTTTGAATTTTTCAGCATATTTTATTGGCATATTGATACTGGAGTTAACCTAAATCACAGTAGGGAACGCAAATATTATTACTCAAAAGAAATAGAGGTTACAATCAGAGACACTGAAATAGAATATAGCAACTTACACGACATAATCACTCAACAAGAGTGGATCCCTAGTGGTAGTGGTGGTTGATAAGATTGGGAAAGTGGCGTTGGGGTGGAAAAGATGGTTGGCAAACTAAAAGCAGGGCAGTGGTTTCCCAGTAGACAGCTAGAGGATGATATGTGAGGGATGACAGGTTAATGGCAACAAGGGGGGAGAGTGGAAACAGCAGCGGCTGCAACGAGGATGCGGCCTGAAGCTGGCCAGTCGGTGGGGCAGGCTATGATGAAGGCTGGGAAGGGGGCGGCAATTGATGGGGCGGGCTGTGTGGGCTGTCAGGAGGTTGGCAACAAGCTGAAGGCGATAGCAGCGAGGATGGAGGGCTGAAATGGCAACAGGGGATGTGGTGGGCTGTCGGACAACTAAAGGAAGGCGGTCCTCGGCAAGGGTAGAGAAGAAAAAGGCTCGATAGCAAGGAAACTGCTGAAAAACAACAAATGAAGTGTAGTTGGGGCGACCTGCAGCGAGGGTAAATGCAAGGCAGCAAAGCGGGAGGGATGTGGGGGATAGGGAAGCAAATCACTACATCGGGAGAGATATAGTCGGAGCACTATCCAATCGCTTGGATACAGCCCTCGAAGGGAGAAGAATGGATGACGATAGCTGTCACAAAAATAAAACACGCGAAAAAATTGACTTCCAAACTCTAATACAACACATATATAAGAAATGACTAAAAAGAAATGAAGGATAATTCGAAATAAAGCATAAGAAAGTAAAACATGATTATTTCAGCGTATTTCCCGCAATAATTATTCTCACGGTACTATAGCGGCTATAGTACCACAGTAAGCTCCCGCGTCAATTTCTCGAGGTTAGAGGGAGCTACGACCTCATCCGTAAAAGCTTCTAAATCTTCATCGTATGGCGTCAGATTGACCACGTTGAAGTTGGTAGAAATGTTTGAATTTATATTTAAGTCAATCATGTTAGCATTTTCATTCCAAAGCGCATCTTGATAGCACAATCGTAACTGGAATTGTACATGGATGGGTATCCTCATGAGGCAAGTCTTGAGTCATTAAATCTATAATTGGTTTTCTCCACTCTTCATAATTGTCCGAGTATTTTTGATAAACAATTATACAAGGAGAAACTATCTCTGAGATGAAATCTATGGCAGATTGGACCACACTGAAGTATAACCACTTAGGAGTGACCTCTTCTCCATCTCTGAAACAACCTGGATCCAATTGGAGAATTTTCTTCCGCATAAAGCTCCAAAGACAATTTTTGAAGCTGTGGTCATCCCTTCTGTCTTAACATCTCATGGTGGGTACATTGTTGTATTGAATCTAATAAATGAATAACTTAATATAATCTTCCAAATATGGTACAAAAGGGCCTCATTTCTGACATGATGGATCTCACTCAGTATGGGCAACTCATGGAGTCTATAAATATGAAAAAGTATGTCGGTTCCTCGAACTCAAGACTATCTCGAACAATCACTATTAATTCGGTTGGATTCTCTCTCATGGGTTCGGCAGGAACTATATGCATCTTTTCTCATCAGCTGAAAGTTGGTACTTCTCCTTTGTGTCCTCATCTTCTTCAGTGTTTATTTTATCGTTACATCTTTCTTCAACAACTCGACACTTAGTGAAATATATCATCCCAGAGTTGTTTTATTTTATCGTTACATCTTTCTTCAACAACTCGACAGTGAAATATATCATCCCAGAGTTGTGCAATCTGCTTCAATATGCCTCAAATCAATGGCATGGAACACTTCCTAGTCGGGATGGGTCTGAGCATGCAAATCAGTGTTCTTTGTTCTTCACTCTGAACTAGTTTATCCTCAGGTGCAGCTTGGATGTAGCTCTTGGGTGTACTTCGGTTGTAAGATCTCAGGGTTGAACCCTGCCTGTAAAATGTGGTGGTCGTCCAGCGATATGGTCTCTCCACTTCTGAAGCTAGGGTCTAAACATCCAGTCTATAATGAGCTAGTAGGACCTGGCGTTGCATCTCCCATTTCATTTTGGACTAGATCGTAACTTTATCTTTTCCTCACGTTGGCAGAGGTACTTCAAATTTTGCCACCAAAATAATACACTTCCTTAGTTTGTTGGCTGCTAGCTTCACCATTCCGTTCAGTGAAATGTCCTAATGCTCAAAGACATATTCCAAAGTCCATCAGCATTTCAATGAAACTGTCTGGATCCATGGGGTTGCGAAATATGGCAAGTCCACCTTTATTAAACATATTAGTTTTTTGATATTTCAGGTCGAGTCTCTGGGAGAGGTTCTTCTCCCTGGCATCTTTATAGCAGAAGAGATTCACTCCATCTCTTCAATCTAGCAAGTCACCGTTGTGGCTATGGGTGACCCATCCAGATTGTCTTTTCTCGAAGGTGGCAAGCCTATGTTGTAGTTTGCAGGTTTGCCACTGCATATCATTCTTAGAAACCCCCACCTCTTTGTGAATTTTTCATTTCCCCTCAATCAGGCTTCCGGGGATTATCTTCTTAGCGAGTTGACTAGGTCTTAAGTGCGGGTAGGTGGAAGGAGTTGTGTAGAGGTGATGTAGGGTGAGAAAGAAAAATTTTAGGTGAAGATAGAGTTGGGTATTAGTGGATACTAGAACTAAGGTTAGGCTCGTACTATACTAAATGATATTGGAGTTAATTCAAACCATAATAAAGATTATTACTCGAAAGTAAATAGAGGTTACAAGGATAGACACTAAAATAGAAAATAGCAACTGACGCGACAGAAGCACTAAACGAGGGTGGATCACGGGTGGTAGCGGTGGTCGGGGAAGCTTAGGAAGGTGGCGTTGGGGTGGAAAAGACGGTTGGCAAGCAGAAAATAGCAAGGCAGCGGCTTCCCTGGGGCTAGACAGCAAGTAGAGACAGCCATAGGACAATGTGTGAGGGTTGTCTGGGTTGATGGTAGCAAGGAGGGAGAGTGGAAACGGCGGCAGCTTCATTAAGGATGCGGCCGAAAGCTAACAGGCGACTTGCTAACCGGTGGGGGAGGTTGCAAGGAAGGCTAGGAAGGGAGCAACAGTCGATGGGTAGGCCTGTGTGGGCTGCTGGGAGGATGGCAGCATGGTTGGCAATGGGCTGGAGGTGATAGCAGCGAGGAAGGAGGGCTGGAACGGCTACGGGGATGTGGTGTGCTGGCAAACAGCCAAAGGAAGACGGTCCTGAGCAAGGGCAGTGAGAAGGACTGGAGAGCGAGGAAACTGCATAAAAACAATAAACTAACTGTTGTCAAAGCAACCTGCAGCGAGAGGGATGCAAGGCAGCAAAGCAGAAGGGATGTTGAGGGGATAGGGAAGATAATCACTACGGTGGGAGAGAAATACAGTCAGAGCATCACCCAATCCCTTGGATGCATCCCTTAAAGGGAGAAGATCGGATGCTAACGGTTATCCTTAAACAAAACACATAAAAAACTGACTTTCAAACTCTAATACAATGCATATGTAGGAAAAGACTAAAAAGGAATGAAGGATAATAGGAAATAAAGCATAAGAAAGTAAAATGGGATTATTTCGGCATGTCTCTCGCAATAACCATTTCCATGGATCTGTAGCAGCTGAAGTACCATGGTAAGACGACTTCACATATTGCGTAAATGTTGACCAAATTCTATAACAGTGCTATAATTTCGTTCTCTTATTTGCTTAGGCTCGTGAGGGCTCTCCAAATGAACTTATCATCAAAGATTCTTCTTCATCTTATCGTTTATACATGTATATATATTTTTGATGAACAGAACCTTTAACTATTTCCTTGTTTTAAATAGTTTGATGGATTGCTCAAGGTGCCAACTAATGTTGATGGCCTGTTGGTTTCCAAAGAATTTTTACAAATTTTCAACATAAACATAAGCAATATTCTGATGATTTGTTGGTCGTTTATTAGAACAATTCTGAGAATGTCACTTATCAGGAACTAATAAGGCATGCAACATTCAGGTCCCGCAGCAGAAAAACAAGTACGATTGTGGGATCTTCGTTCTCTACTTCATCAAACGTTTCTTGGAGGAAGCTCCTCAAAGGCTGAGAAAGCATGATCCTTCTATGGTCACATATCTCAAAACACTAACTTTTGGGGCATTTACATACTTACCACCCAATTCTTATGTATTTATGTCTCTAACACCTAAACATTGAAGTTTAGCTGTTAGATATGTAAATAAATAGGAATTAAATGGCATGTATGCAAATCTTCCTTTTTCTATTATTAAAACTTAGGAGTTACAATTACCATTTTCTGTTGTATTCTCTTCAGACTCCTGCGTGCTTTTGATTTACAGTTTCATTCAAGATGGTTCAAACCGGCAGAGGCTTCGAGCTTGAGGAAAACAATTCGAGATTTGCTTATCGAAGAATTCAAAAAGTCAACGAGTCTAAGAGTAGAATCATCCGTCTGCTCTAATTCATGGGATATTTCATGAATTAAAGCTTAAGGAGGCCCTCCTTGGTCTATAAATCATCTCATGGGCTCTGAGTTGCCCTCTCAACCTTATATGAGGTGATCGAGTATAATGTAAAAGAAATTCTACCATAAGGTAGAGAGTATGTTGGAGTAGAAGCTTTAATCTTTGCACAATTAATAGTTAAAACTGGTTATTTGACTTTACTAGTTTGTTATGTAGTAATAATTAGATCAGAGACAATGTGGAGTTTTATAGTTTATGCCATACTATGCTTCTTAGTTTACGCATTTTTTTGTCAAATGACTGAGAGGCCATACATATGTCATAATTGTGCACTAGTTGGAGAAATGATCTTCCTATCTTGTTTGAATTGAATCCAGAAGAAATTGTACTGTAATTGAGCTATAGTATTAATTTGCTCTCATTTTAGTATTATATGTGAATGATTATTTCTTTCAAAAAAAATAGAAAACAAAGAAAAAGGAAAATTGTTTGTGGTTATGCAAGTCTTTGATGCCTAGTTTCTTTTCAAATTTAGAAGGGGTTTTATTCTATATGCAGATTGAGATGGTCAATGTGGCATAATATTCTCTCAATTGAGTATTATAATAATTTTTTAATGAAATTTTTAAAACGTGATTTTAATCGTTAATAATAATAAAATATTTTATTTTTACCTTCGCAGCAGTAAAAAATAAGTTGAGAAGGCTTTAAAGAAAATCAAGGGTGAAAAGTCTGTAGGACCTGATAATATTTCAATTAAAATGTGAAAATGTTTAGAAGATTTGGGTGTTTCTTAGCTTACTAAACTCTTTAATATTATTTTAAAAATTAAAAAGATGCTTGAGGAGTGGAGGAAGAGTATTTTGATTCTCATTTTTAAGAATAAAGGGATGCACAAGAGTACAAATTATAGAGGAATTAAGTCGATGTGGCATACTTTAAAATTATGAAAGAAAGAGGGTGATTGAACATAGGTTAAGACATTACAAAGATTCTTCATAATCAATTTGGATTTATGTCGGGTAGGTTTATTATGGAAGCTATACATTTATTGAGAGGTTTGATGGAGAAGTTTAGAGATAATATGGAGGATGTATATTTGATTTTTATTGATTTAGAAAAAGCTTATGATAAGGTTCCAAGAGAGACTTCTTGAGAAGAAAACTTGAATTATATCAGGGATTTGCTTTAAGCTCATATGCTTTTGCTTTAGTTATGGATGGTCTTATTGGACTTTTACAGGAGGATGTGCCTTGGTGTGTGTTTTTTATTGATGATATCCTTCTCGTGGATAAGCAGAGAGAAAAAGCCCAGGAAAAACTTGAATTATGGAGGTTTACATTGGAGTAGAACTAAAATTGAATAACATGAAATGTAATTTTAGTAGTAGTAGCTCCAGTGATAGAAGTGTAACTTTGGGTGATCAAATTATTAAAAGGTGTGAACGAATTAGAAACCCCAGGTCTGTTGTTCAAAGCGATGATGATATAGATGAGGATGTTAATAATAGAATTCAAGTTGGTTGGTTTAAAGTGGAGGAATGCTTTGGGCCTTTTGTGTGATAGAAAAGTACTGATTAAACTGAAAAGAAAATTTTATAAAATGGTGGTGAGACCTTCAATGCTCTATGGCGCTGAATGTTGGTCTTCAAAAGAGAAGCATAATACTAAGTTAAGTGTTGCCGAGATGAGAATGATTAGGTGCTTGAGTGGCTTTACACTTAGAGACAAAATGTGAAATGAATATATCTGTGATAGGGTTGGTGTAGCTCCAATGACGGACAAAATTAGAGAGAGTCGTCTTAGATGGTTTGGTCACATTAAACGTCTACCATCTGATGATCCGATTAGGAAATTAGATGTTTTAGATTCGACTTATGTTCAAAAAGGCAGAGGTAGACCTAGGAAGCTTTGGCTTATTGTATAAAAAATGATCTTTATTTATTAGAACTAAATGAAAATATGACTCTAAATAGGATGCAATGGAGAAAAATGATTCATGTAGCCGACCCCACGTAGTGGAATTAAGTCTTTGTTATTGTTGTTGTGGAGTATTATAATAATATGAATTTGTAGCTTAATTTTGTGCTTAGAGTTATATTGTATGAATCTGAAGAAGTGAGTGCTCTAAACCTTCATGGGTTCTTATTTGCTTTTATTGTAGCGGGGGAGAGGGCTCTATATGCTCTGATTGATGTGGAAGAGGGCTTCGCACTGCTGAGTAACTTCTATGAGCACTTATATTCTGGTTTATTAGTTCTTATAATTCTCTATGTGATTTTTAATTGTGTGATGTGACTTATACGTATGTATTTTTATTTTTTTTTATTTTTTTTCATGCATAATTGTCGATGCTTAAACAATATTATAATCAAATATTTCAGCTTTCGCAATATGTATGTATTCATAATTCTATTTCGTGCATTATATTTAAACCAACAAAGTGACTCTATGGATTTATTTCGGAGAAATTAGCATAAAGCTTGCTTATATTACTGTGTTTCAAGCATTTTCGTGTGTTGCATATATTGTGTGAGAAAATTTGTGATAGTCCACAATTTTATGCCTCGACATTACATAATATTTTCACAAATAAATAAGATCTCATAAGGGGTGCAAAAATTTGTACATAGGAAACTCATGAAAGGAAAAATTAAGTGGCCTAAATTTATTGAAACAGTTTATTATGTAAAAGAAGATTATGGTTTTCCTCCAAATTGAAAAAGGCTGGATCATAATAAGATCTCTTTTTTCGGGCACAAGTTCTTGGGAAAAAGTTTGTGTACACAAGACGTACGCAGAGCTGCGTACGTCTGTAACCTGCAAATAGGTTACAGGGAGGATATTGGGAGGTTATAATCGTGTTATACTCTCTGTAACTCCATGTATCTGAAAACAGAAGAGCGGAACTTACTAGAAGGTACAGGTAAGTTACAGGGAGGTTAGAGAGGGTATAACGCGGTTATAACCTCTTAATATCCTTCATGTAACCTATTTACAGGTTACAAACGTACGCGGCTCTGCGTACCTTATGTACGCAAATTTTTCCCAAGTTCTTGTGAGGGTATTAGAGAATATCAAAGAAAAAATATATGTTTGCCAAATTTCTTGTGGGGGTATTAAATGCATGCATGAGAACGGATTTATAATTGAAGGCTTCATAAAGGGCGGCCTATACAAATTCACCTCCTGATGTTGAAATACGATACATGAGAAAGATTTTAAGATATTTTTACCAAAGGATCCGGAATTGCATTAAATAAAGCATAAAAATGCACTTTTTCAATTTTCCTAATATTACTATTTTTTAAGATAAATGATTCAACTTTATGATCTTCAAAAAATAGTCTCCCTACTCAAAACCGTCAAGACAAATAATTTCACATCATTAATCCTTTTCCCAACTTTTATTGTGGCCTGTCTTCACTTCTGCACATTGCAAAGCAAAAAAAAAAAAAGTAACATTACACCGACAAAATATTCCGTCCGTACGACCAACAATTGACTATCACATCGCCCGTCGATTAGACATATGACGATGTGACGCCCGGTGATTAGAATATTTTCTCCATTAAACCAGCCTTCTATCAAATTACCACATTATTTTGCATTTAAAGAAGTGATATGCATGCACTCAGACGTCAATAGATAATTCTTTCAACCAAACCATAGAATTCATTAATATGCACAATTTAATAATATATACTCAAAAATATTAACATTATTCTCCCATAAAATTTTGCACAGTCAAGCTCAAATTATGGATGCATGAAGATTTTCATTCAAGAATATTTCACATATTTGTAAATACAAATTACCTCAAAGTCCAGTAAACCAAGTCAACCAACACTAAAAATTATGACACAGAAAAGCAAATCCTCAGACAAGAAAGAAGTCAAACACATGTATTACATAATTACTATTGGCTTGGCTCCATAAATACAATTCCGGCCACCGAGCGCTGCGAAGCATCAGCAGCAATCAGAATATCAACAAGGATTTCAAAAAAACATTTTGATTACAACAAATTTAGGGGCCTTTGTAGCTGCCAAAACAAGGCAGGCATCCTTGTTGCTGACCAATAGGGATCATCCCTCCGCCCTTGGATGTGTCAATGGCTTCCAGCATGACGACTACATCATCCATCTCCGGCCGCCTGTCAGGGTTCGCATCCCAGCATCGTTTCATCACATTTGCTAGTGAGTTCGGGCAGCACCTCGGTATCTCCGGCCTCAAATTCTGTAACAGTTGCAGAATAGAAGTTGTAGGCGAAAGAAAAATATAGGATAGTTGAAACATAATATGCTTAGATGTAAACCTAAAAGATAGATTTACAAAAAGAAAGATTTACATGCATATAAGCATTCCACTCACATCGCACAATTAAAAATCAAAAAGAAAGATTTATATGCGTATAAGTCTAAGATTTACATGCATTCCACTCAATTCTTATGTATTTACATATTAACACCTAAGCATCATTTTCTTTTCATATATGGAGGTTATTAATGGCGCGCCTACAAACCATAGTCTATTTGGGTGATGATTACTCCATCCCAAGATGGGTTTGGCAGGTTTACATAGTGATTACACCGAAGCCATTCGACCTCCTTCCATTTCTCCTTCGTCACTAAGTAATCGCCGAGACTTTTATGGAGAGACGAGAGAGAGGAGGACAAGTGATGGGATATTAGAGATGATTAATTCTTGTATTAGGTTAATAAGGTTGTTAATTAGTTATGAGATTAGTCAGCAATAAATTATCAATGTTGAATTTCTATTAATAGCTCCTATTAGAGGCATTGAAGGAATGAAAAAAATGAAGCTTCTCTTATTATTTGCTTTGATAGAAGAGAAGTTGACTTCGTGCGCAAATAGGAGCTATTTAATGATAAAAAGAACAGAAGCTTACATCATTTTGTGCATTCCCTTAAAGGAGCTATTTATAGATATACAACATTGCTAAGTTATTGCTGACTAATCTCATAACCAATTAACAACTTTATTAACCTAGTACAAGAATTAATCATCTCTATTATCCGATCAACGGACTCTAAAAAGTGATGGATGGCGAGCAGGGAAGTTTAACTGGAGAGATCGATTTTATTTCTTACATTTTTTAACAATTCTTCTGCAGCCAACTGCAGTGCACTTGCAATTTCGTGGCTTTGTGCACAAGGGAGATGAAGAAATTAACAGTGGTAAATTAATGAGTTTAATATAGTCATAGGTGTTAGGTATGTAAATATATTGCGTAAAGTGTTAGATATGTAGGATGAGATGTTTTCGATTGTATGTATATAAAACCTACTAAGAAAATTATGTTTACATTGATTTGCATAGCGTGAATATAATAATACATTTACTTTAATAATTTAAAGTTTTCATGATTTTTTGTTGATTTATGTGTCATCCATCGCCAAAATAAATAAGCATTAAAAACTAAAGGTTTTTTTTTTTTAGTAAAAGTGAGCCCAAAAGACAATATGTGTGGTTTGAACCTGTGACCACACAGTGGAAAACAACACCCTCAAATAATATGCACAGGTAAGTGCGCTTAAAAGATGAAGTTGATCTATCAAAAAAAAGGCATTGTCATTCCACCAATATGCATCTGTATTTTTTTCATAATTTAAACAATTTATATCAACTATCTTTTAACTAATATTTTGCCTTAACTCATATAATTTCTTATTTATATATGTTAATTGTAATTAAATCATTTTAAGATAAAGAGACTTATTGATTCTATATACTTAGTAATTAGCCAAATGAAAATTTTTGAATAATTTTTTACATTCATTTTTGTTTAAAAACACAAATAAATTCTTTTAAAAAATATTTTTTTAAGATCTTAAACAATTTCAATTTTATAAAAATTATATATATATATATATATATAGATAGATAGATAGATAGATAGATAAATAATACAATTTATTTTTAAAAATATAACTTAATATTGCCTAATAATTGGTTTAAATATGCTTAGATGCATATAAGCCCTAAAATTATTTTATTTCTTGAAATCTATTACTAAAATATTTTTCAAATATCTCATGATAATTTTAAAAAAGCAAGTTGTTAAAAAAAATCAAGAATCTTAAAAAAATTTACCAATTTATTAAATCTAAAAAAACATTACAAATTGAAATTTTTCTACATATTTAAAAAGAGTATAACATATTAAGAATTTTAAATTAGTGCACTTCTGTGCACATACATTCAGGCGAACAAAAAATGGCCTGTATTAAAACCCGACCATGGAAGAAATAACAACTCAACTATGTCACAATGTACTTACCATAATTTATGGACCAAATCTAGCAAAAATTTTATTTTGATAATAATGTACATCATTTTATTTTATTTATTCATTTAGTTATTTATTTATTTATTTATTGGATCAGTCAGCAATTAAAATGAGGAAAAAAAAAGACATTCACTTACTTGCCGAACAACTGCAGATGTGATTTCAGAGAAAGTGAGGTCAGGATATGGCATATCACAGCAGTATATCTCCCACAGGCAAATTCCAAAGCTGTACACATCACATTTTCTGTTGTAAGGATTTCCATTTAGAACCTGCAAATTTGATTAGCATTCAATCAGAAAAAATGGGAAAATAGATTATTCAAAAAGCTGATCCCAAATAGCTAAACCTTAAGCAAATGATGATGATGACTTGGACGGGAGATTAGCTTTGAGAATAAAACTAAGTCATTGTGGGTTAGGAGAAGAGATTCATGATTATTATCTATGTGACTAATTAATCTTTATTTTTATTTTTTTGATTAATTATTTTTGCCACTGCCAGTAAATAAAACATTTGCTACCAGAAGAAAATAATGGCACCTGTTTTTGTCATGATATGCATGGTTGTAAACCGCCTAAAATAGGAAATCATGGCAGACTTATTTCGCAGCTCTTGGGATTTATAAATGAAAAGTGCACCAGGCCATGGTGCGGAGCTATCAATTTGAACCATTGACTTTTAAGCGTTATGTAGGAAAATTTTACTTAAATAGAATATTCACAAGCATTAACAGGTTTGAAATTCAGTTTATATAGAGAAGTGTTACATTGAATGATGGCAACATTTTGGAGTGACAATAAAACTTTATTTTTCTTGAAGCAAAGAGTTTGATCAAAAAAGAGATTGCATAAAGAAGGATAATGATACAAAACAAATACAGAAGGAAAAAGCTTTTGATTTGAAACTTTCTTTGTCCGTTTCAAATATAAGCTTGTTTGGAAATTTGAATTAGAAGTCCATTGCAATACTACAAATGTCTTAGGGCATTAAGTTGAAATTGACAAAGCAATGCTGTAGAATAACCACAAACCTCTGGAGCCATATAACCAAGGGTTCCGGTTTCTCCAGTCATATCATTGGGGTTTTGTGCTTCAACTCGCGCAACACCAAAATCAGCAATTTTTAAAGCCCTTGTCCTATCCAGAAGCATATTTTCTGTCTTTACATCTCTGTGCACAATCTTTTTTGAGTGAAGATAACTCAACCTGTAGATGGAAAACTCACACATGTAAAGGAAACAGTAAAACAAATATAAAAGTAAAATTTGTATTCAAGATGAAGACATAAGTTTGTGATTACCCCCTTGCAAGATCAAGAGATATTTGGACTACAACTTTGAAAGCTAGCTTTCTCCTATGATTTTTTATGAGATAAGTTTTTAAGGCGCCCCCAGGGAGGTATTCAACAACAACACAGCAAATGTTAGTAGACATTCCAATCTGGCCATTTTCAGTTTGTATGTTCAGGTCTGCCTCACCCAATGTAGCGCCTATAAACTGTTTAAAAAACAAGTAAAATTATGTTTTTTGCGAGTTAGGAAATTTCAGACAAAGATGCAAGTTATTGAAGATAGAGGAGATCTACTAAATATATTCCAGTAATCTAATGTAGTATCTTGAAATGTAAAACCACAAACATAGAAGTGTTAGGCTTGCAATTTAAAAAAAAAAAATTTGAACTAATGAGCAAGATAGAAGGAAATTTGCAAGTAAATTTGCTTGCTTGTGACTTAGAATAATCAATCAATGAAGATAAAAACCAAATATCATCAAGTTTTCTCGTAAAATTGAGACAAACTACTACCAAACCTTTGAAAGAATATGTTAATTTTGTTCTCATAATAAATCAGGAGAAGATTCACCACTCTAACGCTTCACCTAATACAGCCACTCACATTAAATTGGAGAAACATCATTTAGAATGAGAACCAAGTGTTCACTCATCTATATCTTACATCTTGTCAATCCTGAACACCATTGGCCTCACTTATAAAATTAGATTCCTGCTTATAAACAATAGAGAAACTATAAAAATGAGCAATGGAAGAGTAATCTCAGACACAATAGGATGCAAGACAGATATGATCATCAAGATTCTCTTCCAAAATTAGTTTTAGGCAAGAAAATATCTAGTTTTGACCTTTTAAATTAAAAAGTGTGGTTTAAATGTTTTAAATATTTTTCACATACATAAATACATACATACATGTGTGTGTGTATATATATATATATATATATTTAAAAGGCAAAATTCATTGATAAAAAAGGGATGATACAAAGGTTTTAGTGAGTGGGTAGAAGGATGTTGCTCACAGGGATTACAAACGTATTCCCCAAAAATAAAACAAAAAGAAACAACTCCGAATCATGGTGGGTGTAGTTGGCGGATCTACCACTTCCCCTTCCCCTTCCCCTGGATCTATGGAGGGAGTCCAGCAACATATTGAGATGTGGGCTTCCGCCCGAAACAATTATACAGTCATCCTGAGAGTTATTGAGATCTGGCATTCCTTTCTTCTTCTTCCTAGATTCGTAGACCCGTCAATCATCTGTCAGAGGTAGTCTTGTGTGAACAATAGGTGGATCTTTGATGGAGGTAAACTGTTGATATGACCCAGCCTACAACACACATTGATCTTGATACTCCTCCATAACATGAGTACTTTCTTCTCTCGCAAAGTGGATCCAAGACACTTCGGCTATCATCTGCTACAACACAATTCGTAGAGTTTGTAATCTGAGGAAGAGCTGCTTCAACAACAGTAGGCGGAAGCTGCTGGTCTGATGGGTGAGGAGTAGCCTTACGAGTCAAATTCTCATTCAACATTTCTAGAAGATTAATAGTGTATGTTATATTTTCCTCCACATTGATGATGTTGTTAAGACCAACCGATCTCAAATGCGGGTGAAGCCTGAAGCATTTGACAGGGGTGTGCCCAAATAGTTTATAATGATTGTAGTAGTATGGTCTTTGTTCGGCTATAATTGGTTGTCAATACCCATTGTGGGCAGTACCAAGCCATATTTCGTCCACATCAAAGAGGGTGATACCCCTTTCAACAAGAATTATTGCAACCAAAGGCCTGGTTAGATTGAAGGTAGGTGTATCCAATTTCATAGGTCTCCCTAGTGCAGCTCCAATAGAGTAAAGGACTTGGTAGTTGAAGTAGTGCAACTTTAAGCCATATAGTTTAAACCAGGTTGGAACTATAGGTGGTTCTTGACAATGGTCAAATTCAGGAGACCACTTAAGCAGTTTCATATATTTTACCTCTATTTTCATTAACTTTTTGGAAAATATTTTGGCATAGTCTTCCACTTTAGATAATTATAGCATCATATGTCTTCCATCAAATAGACCAACATTCCAAAGTCCCAATAATTTAATATCTTCAAAAGCCTTTCAAACGATTTTCATTTTGGGATGTCCCGATTTGAACTTTCCAATGAGGGTGAATTTGAACTTGTTAACCAGGTTGGAAACTTCAACATCATATAAGAATAAAGTCAGTTTACCACTCTTCCTACCCGTCTTCTTGATAAGATTGTAGTCCTCCTGACCTTCGAATGATTCGTGGTAAACCTGAGGGGAAACCTAATCTAATCTCATAGAGTCAACCATATCAACAAAAGAACTCTTCACTGAAGTAGTATATGGCTGAGAAGGAACAGTAACCATTGAGCTCAGAGTCAAACAGTAGGTCTAACTCCTTGTTGCTCGATCCGCGAAAAAGGGATCAAACGGAGACCACAGCACAGAAAGTTACGGCACTAAGCAAGAAAATCTCGCGCGAGACGTTAGGATGACGAAGGACTGCGAGAGAATTTCCAAGCGGGAACCTAGACAATATATATATATATGTGTGTGTGTGTGTGTGTGTATGAAAAGCCCATGGACTAATTTTATTGAATTAGAAAAGGATACATAAAGGTTGTATGAGAAGAACCCAAAGAGACACCCTACCCATACGATACAAGAAAAACCCCAACTAAAGGTACAGATAGACTCAATAAAATTAAAAAATAAACTTAAAACATGCAGAAAACAGTAACGAGGGACAAGCCAGTTTAGTTCTGCCTCTTTCTCTAGTTTTAGGAGCAGAACCAAATAACAAGCTTTGAAGAGTCGTGTCATTGTCAGGAGTCACCAAAGTATCATCCATTAAGTTTCATCCATTAAGTTTCCAAGTCAAGTTGAAGTGAGCCCCCAGGCTTCTTCTTCCGCCGAGAAGTGTAAACCTGTCATTCTTCATCTGAAGACTGACTCATGTGATCCTTGATCTGATTTGATGTTGGAACCGCAGTAGAAGGAGAGATTGTCGTCGTCACCGCGATAGGTTTCAGTGTAAGTAAAGTGTGAATTGTTACCTCTGCATCTGATGCTTCTTGAATAGAAGCTGTAGGACTATTCTGATTTTCAGTTCGAACATTATCCATTATAGTATAGTCAAGAGAAGGGATACCAGGGGCAGACACCAACTCCTGTATTGTGGTGTTTCCCTCCTCAGGTTGGCTGTCATCAGGTTTGTTGGGAACGCGTTCAGGCACATGGGGTGTGCTAACAGTGTGTTACTGCTTTTGACTAGTGGTTCTCAACTGTGGGTGCAATTTGAAATAGTTTTCCTGCACGTGTTCAAACATCTTGCAGTGCTTACAGTAGTATGGTTTTTGTTCCATACTGATTTTTTGCCAATAAACATTGTGAGCAGATCCAAGTCAGACTTCTTCTATATATGGTAGTGTAATATCTCGTTCAATCAAAATTCTTGCAATAGAGAGTCTTGAGAAATGAACTGTAGGTAAATCTACCTGCAAAGGTTTTTCAAGGATAGTCTCAATTGCATATAAGATAGGTAGATCAAAGAAATGAAGTTTGAGTTCAGGTAATGAGAACCAGATAGGTGCAAGTGGGGGTTCTTGACTGGGATCAAAATTGGGGGTCCATTTGAGCAATTTCATATGTTTGCCCTCAATTGTGATGAATTTCTTTGAGAAAATCCTCGTGTAATCATCTTCTGTGCTCAGTTGTATCATAACATGTCTTCCGTCAAAATGACCACTTGTTAACCCCCAACCAGTTTGAAATCTTCAAAAACCTTCCTGATGATCTCCATCTTAGGGGTAACCTAATTGGAACTTTCCAACTAGTGTAAATTTGTATTTTCCTACACAAGTTGAAATTTCAGTATCAGAAAAGACAATTGTTGGTTTACCCGCCTTTTCTCTACTTTTTTGATGAGATTATAATCGTCATTTCCTGCAACATAATCATGATAAACTTGCAGAAATATCGCACTATCTACGAGGTGAAAAGGGGAGCTGCGTTTGTGAACCACTGTAGCATAGGAGGGTTTGGAGGGGTTATCACCAGCGAGGGCGGCGACGTAGGAAAGCCCTGAGGCCATTACCGCAGCTAGTGCCAACCTGCAGCACAGTGAGAAGTTGCACGAGTGTCAAGCGGCTCTGTCACGCCAGAGGCAGAGTTGAGCAGACCGGGAGGCTCTACGAGACGCAGCAGAAATGTCGAGCGGCTTTGTCTGTCGCAGACGAAGAAGCTGTCGAGCGGCTCTGTCGCAGAAAATGCAGGCACGAAGTCGACGGCTCTGTAGCAGAGGAGATGCAGTAGAAGCGAGCGTCTCTGTCGCAGATGAAGACGCTATCGAGAGGCTCTGTCGCCGAAGAGACACAGGCACGAAGTCAACTGCAACACTGTCGTCAGTCGAGACGTGAACGCAAACGAGAGACGACGCGAATGGAAGGAGACGCCGAAGCCGAAAGACGCTAGGGATCGCCATGCGGCGGAACCCTAGCAGAGCAGAAAGACAACATGAGAAAATTATATATATATATTTTTTGTTGAAGTGCCACCACCCATAACCTATTGGTAAAGCAGCCTCTTTGAAGGGCAAGCCCCCAGGTCATAGGTTTGAATCCCCCTCTAGCAAGTTTGTCGGTAGTGAGGGCGGTTCTCGAATAGTTAGGCATATGAGGGTAGTTGGTGGCTAGTATAATAGCCTCTGGCCATTCTTTGAGGATATATATATATATATACACCGTTGAAATTCAAAATAATGTGGAATATTTTTATTTATATGAAAGGGCTCTTATATGAATCCTAGAATAGGAAAAACAATAAAAAGAAACCACATGAAAGGAAACAACATGAAAGAAAAGATATAACACCTAATATCTCCAATTAATCAATACATATTAATTATTTGGAGAAAAAGAAAAAACATTAAATAGGAAAGCCTATATTTGGAGAAAAAGAAAAAACATTAAATAGGAAAGGAAATAAATTCAATCCAAGGAAATAATTTATTCCTCATAGCTTTTCATAGAAATAAATTATATCATAATATAACTGCTAACACTCCCTCAAGTCAATCATGTTTCAAATTGGATTAGAAAGCATCAAATAATGAGCGAGGAAAATCCTGTGAGATAGAACTTGAAGTTTTCATCCTGTACTGCATTATCATTGGTTGTAGTTCACGCAATGTAGGTGGATCGAAACCTCCTGCAAGTAATGTTGTAGGGGAGTTTGCAGGAAAGTGGACAATTGTGGTTGTCTTTGACTGTTGTTCTTGCAATATCTGTAGGTAGGCGGAAGGCTCCTATAGGTAATGTTGCAAGGGAGTTTTCAAAGAAGTAGAAAATTGTGATTGTCTTTGACTGTAATTTCTGCAGTGTTTGTAGGTAGTGGAAGGCTCCTCCATGTAATGTTGCAGGGGAGTTTGTAGACAAGTAGACAACTTGAAGGAAAAATGTAGCAAGATAAAGCCTGCAAAATAAATAAATAAAAGCTCTGGAGCGGGGTCTACTGCAGGAAAAGGGTCTTAAACAAGGATGACCCGTAATAGGATATTGTTCTTTGCAGGGCAGATTGCTAGCAGATAAGATTACCGACCGCAGAGAAAAAAGGGTTGCAACCTGCAGGGAGAGAACCGACTGTTGTTGTTGTTATTGGACAAGAGAATTCCAGGGAAGAAGTCTGCAGAGAGAATTATGGGGAGTTTGTAGACAAGTAGACAACTTGAAGGAAAAATGTAGCAAGATAAAGCCTGCAAAATAAATAAATAAAAGCTCTGGAGCGGGGTCTACTGCAGGAAAAGGGTCTTAAACAAGGATGACCCGTAATAGGATATTGTTCTTTGCAGGGCAGATTGCTAGCAGATAAGATTACCGACCGCAGAGAAAAAAGGGTTGCAACCTGCAGGGAGAGAACCAACTGTTATTGTTGTTATTGGACAAGAGAATTCCAGAGAAGAAGAAGTCTGCAGAGAGAACTATGCTGGCAAAGAAAAAACAGAGAAGGATTTGAATGAAGATTTCCGACAGTAAAGAAGAAATCGACGGAGAAGGGCATGTAGGTCAGTTGATAAGATTCCATTCAATGATACATCCAGTCTCACCTCTGTAATAGCAGATGAAACCTGCAGAGGAAAAATGGCAAAAATAGCACCTCCCCTCTGCCCATTTTTTTTGTTAAGACATGTCTAAGAAAATAACTTCTCCCCTTCGGTTGGGAGTGTCGTTAGAGAGAGAAGGTCCCGCTCTCCAAACATTGGTGGCGGCTCTCCGATTGGTATTTTCACTAGAGAAAGTCTACCTCTCTGAACATCGGCGATGAGTTTTAGGTTGGGGTTTCCACAAGAGAGAAGAAGAGCAAAACACACCTAGGAAATTCTGCCGACAAAGAAAGTTACAGGAAAAATGGCTGCTGGAAACACAGCTCCCCTGATACCCGCGGAGGGAAGAGAAAAATATTATAAGAGAAGGGGTAGGCGACGGATCAGGCTGCAGAAACCAACTTTGGATTTTTTAAGAAACAATAGGAAGCAGCGCTCAATTTCAGGGAAAAAGCTACGTTTTCTGCAACTAGGAAGTACAGCAGAAAAAAGTGCTTTGTTTCCTGCGTGCAACTCCTCCTAGTAAGAACAATGGGAAGGTTTTGCGGGGAAAAATAGCGGAAAATTCATCGGCACACAACCTATCAAAAAAGGGTCCCCAATGAGAGAGAGAGTCGGCCGACAGAGGTCTGGCAGAAATCTTACTAGGAGAGGCCGCCAATGAGAGGGCGACAGTAATCCACGGTTGGTTGCCGACATCATATATCCTCGACGAGGATCTCAAGGATGTCGTCACTCTAGATGCGCTCAAGACTTGCGACAAGAAGGTCCAAGATTGGAATCTAGGGATTGACTCTTCATTGGAGGGAGGTCTGGCGGCTGGAAACTACCTGCCAGAAGGATCAACGGCAGCAAACTATAGAAAACCAATAGGGAAAAGATTAACTGACGGCAGTTAAATGGAGGCAGCTAGGGGAACCAGCGACTATAGATCTACATGACAAATATGCAATAGATTTTTATGAAAAAAAATTGTCAGACAACCGACAGCAGAAAATTCTCCACGGAATAGAACTTTACAGTAAGAAAAAAACAGCAAGAAAAAAAACTACTGGGAAACTGCTTGCCTTTCGGAACGACATGGCTGATGGCTAACTTCAGACTCTTAAATGCTTGACTATGGTATACTCCTCTGGCCCCTCAGCTCACATTTCAACATGAGATGCTCAAACTCCGTGTCAACTCCTCGACTGATAACTCTCCTTGATGTAAGTGATGTAACCTCAAGAACATGTCCCGACGGTAGTGTGAGAGTGGATACTTTTGTTGCATCTCCTTCTTCGTCCTTCTCCCTAGTAGTGATCTTGCTCCTACCTTCTCTCTGTCTCACTCCCTTCATATTCTCTCACCACAAAGAGGCACTTTTCTTCAGTTTTATGGTAGCAAGCTTCATTCCTATCAATTGAGAACTCCTTATACTAAAATATTAGCTCAACAGACTGCAACCACTTAATTGAAGTGATTTGGATTTATTCTCCCCTTGAAATCTGATAAGTCTATCTTTACTCTCATATTCCCATGACCTCCAGAAGTCAATCCAACCCTCGGCCTCTTCAAATAGTGAATCCCAAAGCGCAGTGGCCTATCCTCATCATCACTAGAGTCATTTATATGAAAGGGATTCAGATATTCCTCTCCTCTTTAAATCTCACTATCATAATCAACTTTGATCACTCTATGGGTCCCTTCCAATTTCAGCAAAGCTTAGCTGAAGTCGACAAATTTGCCATTGCATCTCTTTCATGGTAAGCTCCCGATCGGCTTTCGGCACTTGTATCTTTGGTGGCATGGCTAAGATTTAGGTTTGAGAGGTGAAAGAGAGTGTACGGGGCGGATTTAGGGTGCAGAAGAAAGGTAGGGTTGCTGATTTTGAGAATTTGCATGGAAAATTAGGTTTGGGTCAAGATTTTATTACTGTTTGGTAGATCACCTTAGGATGGAACTAGAATCGACTTAGCTCTGATACCAAATTATACCGGATTTAACAAACATCCAACAAAAAAAAAATATTAATGAATTCAAATTGGAAATTACAACAAAACAGCCTAGAAATCTGAAATTGCAACAAAAAAACTTACAACACTGGAACTAGAGTGGATCCAGGGTGGAGATGTTGTCGTCTAGGGGTCAGACCTCCTGAGCGAAGGCAAGAAAGGTCAAATGGCAAGTTGGAAAATGGCGGCAGCAAGAGGAAGGCGGAGAGCAGCGAGGACAGCGATGGGAGGGTGAGGGCAGCAAGCTAGAAGGGGTGGAATGGCATGAAGGAAGCGGAGCTGAGAGAAAACAGCAACTTGGTTGTTTTCCTGAAGGTGGCTGCAAGGGACAGAGACAAGGATGAAGAGGGAACGATGTAGGAAAGAAGTGGAGGGGTGGTAGAAGATGATACACACTACTTCAGGAATAGCCAGAGCAACACTTAGAACTTATGGATATTGCCCTGGGAAGGGAAAAGGAGTGTCGATGGCTATCCGGAAACAAATCACAGCAAAACTAACACTAGACATCAACAAAAGCAAATAAATAGTCACAGATAACTAGAAGTGGGTCCCACTGTTGTATTTCCACTCCTTGGAGGGCTGACGGCCCCTTGGAAGACTGGAATGAACCAGTTTAGGTGCGCCACAAGGGCCCTGTACCCTAGACGCTCGCATCACCAACACTCACCAATTTCATCGTCATTCAGCACCGACAATGTCAACGCACGTCATTTCCAATAAAGCCAATATATATCATTGATATCAACTCCAACTCAACATCAAAATCATCATTTAAATTGGACTTCTTGGTCTCTAATCTTCCCTACTCAAAGAAGATAGATCCAGCAGAGAGTAAATACTCTTTGAAAACAAGTTCGGTGCCTCAAGGTTTTTCAACTTAAATTATGGAATTCATCCTTCAAAGTATGTCTAATACATCATATCAATATCATGCCAGATTATCAAGAAGAGAATTATTTAAAACTTACAAAATGTACCAGTCGAATCACGTTAGCTAAACCAAACCTTGTGATCTTTTTTTCCTTTACAAGTTTTTCACGTAAAAACTATGAAATTTCCTGCAACTCTTTTTTTATTTGTCTGTGAAATAAATTTTTATACAGAATTAAGAAATTAAATATTTTCTCTACCACTGAGAATATTTCTGCAGGTAACAATAAGATCAAATAAATAAATAATTTATCATTTCCTTAAGCAAGTATTAGCATGTATGATCGCAGGAGAAAGCCTTATGCAATGAGGTGCATACATAATCTTAAACATTATGCATATGAGCATATTCTCAAAGGGTCCTGAAAGTATATGTTTTATTTTCAATAAAAGTCGAATTTATTGCAATTTTTCTCAATTATGCCCTTTTAGGACTCAAAGGCGAAAAAATAATGTCTGAAGAATGACACGAGTAAATAGATCAGAGAAAAAAAAAGGTAATCTCAAATCAAAAATAAAGGCAATAAACCATTGCTGCAGCAAAATAAACCTGATCAATTGAATCAAAAAAAGTTTGTTTTGTTTAAAACCAAAGTTAAGGACTGATAGAAGCACAACTTTTGCATTAACTCGTAAGATTTTTTCCGGTACTCAAGTATCTATACATGCAGCAATGCTTACCTTAGTTACATTTGGATGATCAAGTTTATGCCAAACAGAAACTTCCTGAGTAAATGCTGCTCGCAGTGAAGCAATTTCAGCTTCTGTCCTGCTACCTTCTTCTCCCCAGTCCAGTAACTTAACTGAAATATAAGAATAATATTTTAGATAAATGAAAAAAGATAACTTTCGTCCAGTTTTACAAGTCTCCACCCAATGAATGTAGTCCTGTTTTACTTACTAAACTACTGCTACTACTACTGTTCATACTACCAATATTAGTATCCGTGCATCACGTATATTAATATTAGTATAGTAATGTTAGTGGTACCATAAATTATTTAAGAATAAAAAAATAGTAGTAAAAGCAGTAGCTGTAACACCCTAAAAAATTTTAAAAGATAAAACACGAAATCTTCTATAAAAAATTATATCCCATGTTTCACAAATCTTCAAAATGATCAAAACTATTTTTATAAGACTTTACAATTCAATATCAATCATTTTGACAAACAGAATAATATAAAAATAAAATACCATACAATCAATTATTAATCAATTTATTATTTAATTATGTTTCTAAGGTTTTCATTAAATTTAATGTGGCAGCATGCCACGATGGAATTTCTGCATGTGTAAGGGTATCAAATAAAGTTGAATATATTTACATATATAATTATCAAACCTAGCCTTATCCTATTCCATTCTCATCCACACTCCCTTTCGCTTCATAGCTGCTGTATCCCAACATAAAGGATAAAAGGAAGTGCTCAAATAAGTAAACCGAAAAGCAATGACAAAAAAAAAATAAAAGGAAGTGCTCAAATAAGTAAACCGAAAAGCAACGACAAAAAAAAAATGAGAAAAAAATGACAGTAAAGTAAGAAGATAAAATTGTTATTTGAAGTAAATAGATTTAATTTCAAGTTATTAATTTCACTATTTATATATATATTGAAAAAATTACTATTTTTATTAGTTTGTTTATAAAAAATAAGATAGCAGGATGGTAAAGTAAGAAGATACATCTTAAAAAAGAGCCAACATTGTCGGTGAGATACTCAACCCTTTAATAACGAAAGCAAATATATCTTATATCTACTGTCTATAAAACTTCCCTATATTAAGCATGTCATTAGCGCCTGATGTTGCCGGTAACATTATTGTATACTTGTTTTATATAATCACAAGTTTAATTAATTTAACCATATTTATATTACTCAAATTCTAACATTGTTTCCTAATTTGTTGCATATTAAAAAATTCACTATTGAACTTTTACATATTATATTTTTCTTTGAGACGTATTAAAAGAGAATGATTGATAAGCTGTGCATAATAATAAGCATTTAAAAAAGGTTTCTGAAAAACAGAGAAAAGGCACATAACAAAATTTATGTTATGTTGGATAAGTTGACAAATGATAATATCATAGGCAGAAAGAGGTAAAAGACCAAACGAGAAACGCGCATTAAAAGAGCCCTCTCTCTCAAATTGATTGTTTTACAGTCCAACCATAAATTTAGGGGCTATTGATAAATAGTCAACCAACAGATTAGATGACGATTTAATGATATGAAAGTGACAAAACCTGTACAAATTTCATATAATAATTGCAAAACTATGAATAATAAAAAATGAGAGAAAATTGAAAAAAAAAGTAATTTCATAAAAGCAATCGACCATCTTAAGTGTGTTAATGTTAACTTTTAAATAATACATTTTATTTCTCAACCAACAAATATACTTACTACTTATAAATTTTTTTCACTTAAATAATTATTTAATTTTGTCTTGTTTTAAATTAATATACTAAATTAATCATTTCAAGCCTTTTGTGTGATAGAAAAGTACCCTTAGACTGAAAGGAAAATTTTATAAGACGGTGGTGAGAACTGCAATGCTCTATGGCACTGAATGTTGGCCTTCAAAAGAGAAGCATAATACTAAGTTAAGTGTTGCCGAGATGAGAATAATTAGGTGGATGAGTGGCTTTACACTTAGAGACAAAATGTGAAATGAATATATTTGTGATAGGGTTGGTGTAGCTTCTATGACGGACAAAAGTAGAGAAAGTCGTCTTAGATGGTTTGGTCACATTAAGCATCGACCATCTGATGATCCGATTAAGAGAGTAGATGTTTTAGATTCGACTTATGTTAAGAAAGGCAGAGGTAGACCTAGGAAGACTTGGGCTAATTGTATAAAAAATGATCTTAATTTATTAGAATTATATGAAAATATGACACTAAATAGAACGCAATGGAGAAAAAGGATTCATGTAGTCGACCCCACTTATCGTTGTTGTTGTTGTTGCATATTTTTTTCCTTCTTGAGTTAGTTTATCGTTGGTAAGTTGTAATGGTTGTGGTTAACTTTGTCCTAGTAATTGCTTATCATATAAGAAGAAGAGTTGTAATTTGATAATTGGAAATAAAAGAATATTATTTTTCTCCTCCTTTCTTTGTGGTATCAGAGCCAGGAAACAAACCTTGGATCCTCTTGAAGCGCCATAATACGCTCGTCTCAGATCTCTGCAGGCCCCGATACCTACAGGTCGTATACCTGCAGGCTTCCGACTACCGCATACTACCTTCCAAGTTCGGTTGGTCGTATCTAGTTCCTCAGATGACATCGTTTGTGTCATCTCCATCCCTGCATATCATTGTCAGTGGCATCCGCGACCAACATAGTTTGGTTCGTCTTCATCTATTAGGTTTTCCTATGTCACCTGCGACATCTTCCTCATATGTCATCTGCAATTATATCCTGCACCGTCTGCGACATCTTCTTATGTTGTCTATGACTTCCTGCAAAGTCTTCTTCGTCTTCCTCCTGGGTCATTTGTGACGATAATAGGGCAGCCTCCAACCATCCTACAGCCCCTCTCGGCTCCGGCTCTGACTCTGGCTCATGCTTCCTCTCCCTACAAACATCCTGCGAAGGGATTAGGGCAGCCTCTAGCCTTCTTTGAGACCCAAGTGCCTCTCTCGGCAATCTTCTGTCCATGCGCTCTTCTATGCAAGCTTCCAGTTGACTAACGTCCTCCTATAACAAGCTGCAACCCTAAATACACATATGCTTTATGACCAAGTACGTTATGAAGCTATCAAGTTCCACTCCGGAGCTTAATCGTCCCTTGTGTGAACAATTCAAGAAACTTGGTCACACAAAGGATAGGTTTTGGAAACTACATAGAAAATGTACATAATGGAAACCTAAGTTAGAGAGGAAAGACCAAGACAGCAAAGCCCATGCTGCTACATCTTCTGAAGGGTTGGTCGACCCTAGCTCTTTCACCACGGAACACCTAGAGGTGTTGAAGCAACTTCTTTCGAGCACAACAAAGTGGCTTACCAACTTAACGATACACCAAGGTATCATGTCCTCTTATCTCGTTGACAATAAAATATTTCGACCTTGGATTATAGAATTAGGTGTTTCTAATGACAAGACTGAAGATATTCATGCCTATACTAGATACCAAGAGTTCACCAACTCTAAATTTGTTAGTGATTGTTCGAAAATGAGAAGTGCAAGTCTCTAAAAATATGCAACTCTCTTTTATGTTATATATTCCCCAATTAGATTGCAACTTACTGTCAATTAGCAAGCTTACTCATAACTTGAATAGAGGTGTTGAAGCAACTTCTTTCGAGCACAACAAAGTGGCTTAACAACTTAACGATACACCAAGGTATCATGTCCTCTTATCTCGTTGACAATAAAATATTTCGACCTTGGATTATAGAATTAGGTGTTTCTGATCACAAGACTGAAGATATTCATGCCTCTACTAGATACCAAGAGTTCACCAACTCTAAATTTGTTAGTGATTGTTCAAAAATGAGAAGTGCAAGTCTCTAAAGATATGCAGCTCTCTTTTATGTTATATATTCCCCAATTAAATTGCAACTTACTGTCAATTAACAAGCTTACTCATAACTTGAACTGTATTACTAAATTCTATTCTAACACTTGTGAATTCCAGGTAATGGAGTCTGTGAAGGTGATCGGCAGTATTGAATTGCCATTAAGGTCTATACCTGCTCAAGGAAATTTTTTTTATTCACACATAAGTAGAGTATAAGTGAGCCAAGCCGACTCGACTCGATAAGTGGCTCGTGAAGTGAGCTCCATGAGCTAACAAACCAAGCTCAAGCTAGCCCCGATTCGACTTGTTAGCTCATGAGTCTGCTCATTTAAAAAACCATTAATTTAAAATATACTTAGAATATATTAAAAGTTAGAATTTTTCTTTAAACTATAAAAAATATTTTAAAAATTATATTTTACATTTTATATCAAGTGATTTTATATTAACCATCTTCTAAATGCTCATTATATTTATCATTTCATTATAACATTATCTTACATTTATAATATTTTCTTTCACATCAAACAAGCCGACTTGTGAGTCTGCTCAAACTCATAGAATGAAGCTCAAGCTCGAACTCAAACTCGATTAATTAAACAAGCTCATCTCAAGTACAAGTGTCTGCTTCACCATCTTCTTCCCATATGCATGAATTTGTTATGTTTGATTATGTTGAAATTCAAGTTCTATTATGGCATTGTCATCTGAGTCATCCCAATTTTTTTTATATTGTAAAGTTATACCCTCATCTCTTTATTAATAAAAAATCAGAATTTTATCATTGTGAATCATGTAAATTGGCTAAACATACTCATCATGTCTATCCTCTGTTTCAGTACAAACCCTCGCATCATTTCTCTATCATCCACAATGACATTTGAGACCATTAAAATTGAAAACCATCAATAAAGCAAATGGTTTGTCTCCTTTATTGATGACCAGATTATAATTAGTTGGATATTCCTCATGAAGGAAAAATCTGAAACCGTAAAAATCTTTCAGTCCTTCCATAATATGATTTCCACTTAGTTTCAATGCAAAATTCAGATTCTCAAAAAAGATAATGCAAAGGAATACTTTGATTTTATCATTGGACCCTACCTTACAAACAAAAGTATCATTATGTGAGTTTTTGTGTTAAAACTTCCCAACAAAATGAGATAGCTGAGAAGAAGAATAGATATCTTCTCTAGGTATCAAGATCTATAATGCTTTCTCACAATATCCTAAAAATTTTATGGGGAGAAGCAGTGCTCACAGTCATCC